AAATAAACAAATGTAACAATAAAATTTTAAATACAATATGATTAGTAAGATAGCATTTTCAATTAACACCAGACAATATGAAAAGAATTGTGATGGTCTAGAACTGGTGTGGGATTTTTTTGATTGTAAACAAAAGAATTATCGTAGTCTGTACTAGAAAAATGTAGATGACTAAACTTTGTTAGAGATAAAAAAGTAAAAAGATTGACTGACTGGCTGACTTAACGATCCATTAACGCCCAGACGAAAGCTAGTCTTGAAATTTAGGGTTAGGGTCACTTTTGCTCCAAAAGTGTCAAGGCTGGGAAAGGCACTAAATGTGCTACCATTTGTATTTGGCGAACTGGTAGGCTTTGAAATGAGCGTCAGCCCCAACTTAATAATTAAAAATAATAAATAATTTATGGATAAGGGAAATTTTGCTTGGGCAAAACATAAGAAACTCTTCAGTACAAAGAGATGAACTCTAAAATGTTAGTAATTTTTACCTTTATGATTACTATGTTTTGGTTTCTAAGCCTTTTTCGATTCTTATAGATAATTTTTAAATGGATTTTTTTACAATAACATGCGTCTGTTTACGATTTTGATTATTGCCAACAAAATATTTAAATGGCTAGGAAAAAACAGTTCACCTATAAACAGCAAATTATCATGGATTATGAATATAATTTATCACAGAAAATGATTTTGGAGAAATACTCGATGAATAAATTAGTGATTTCTCGAATTATAAGTTGATTTTATGCAACTATATCAGTAGTGATAGTTCAGCACGAAGGAAGGCTTCAAAAGATCATCAGTTTGTACTGATCAAAAAATTGTCATAGCAGTAAAAAAATATCCATTTAAGAGTTCAACGGAATTGGTGAGACAGTTATCTTTGGATATAACCTCAAGAAAAGAGCATGGACGAGCTACGGTAGCAGCCATATATGCCCGGAAACTATCTGCTTGGCAATAACCTTAAGCATACACCGAAAGATACCAAACATTGGTTGCTGGAGTCAAAGATTAGGACCAGTACCATAATCATATCTTCACCAGTACCATGATCATATTTTCACCCTATAGAAAAATCTTTTGAGTATCATAGATAGCAAAACGAATTCAGAAACATACAAACATAACCTCTTCCCTAAGGTTCAGGATTTGAGGAATATAATACCCAAGTATCAAATTGAACATCTTATAGATTCAATGCCTCCTAGGTGTGCTGCCGTAATCAAAAATTATGGCTAAGTTGTCGATTACTAGCAAAATTTCCTTATTTATAAGAAAAAAATCAGAAAGTTGTTTTAGTTTTGACCATGCAAAAATTCGGTCAATTCAGTTTTCCATAGAATATTTTTTGTTTCAAAATAAATTTTGCATTTATATTTTTTAAGTTAATAAATTGCCTATTTATTTCCGAAAAAACTTTCACTATAAATTTATTTATAAAAAAGTTACAAGTCATTTATTCAGTTTGCAATTTCAGTTGCTTTGGTTATGGCCACACGTCTATATATTTGTACATGAAGTACATAAAAGTATAGAAAATTGAATTTGAATTTTTGGTTGCTTTAGTAAAATATTATCTAGAAGGACAGACGTAGGATTATGACTTCTTTGGGCAAAACATTTACAACAATTTTGCCTAGCAATAAAAAATGGGGAAAATTAAATCGAAAGGACTCTTTAGGATTTGTTAGATACAATAGTTTTTTTTTTTTGACATTCAGGAAAATGAATTCGTCCCCGAAAAAAGAAGGAAGAACAAGAAAAACGTGAGCGTGACCAAAGCGAGATGTACAGGAGTCAGAATGGAGTCCGGAAATTTTACCAACGATAGGGAAAAAATGAACTTGAGGAACGATTTTTTAAACTGATGTAAAGGGTATTGTTGAAATCGAAGGATAAACTTATACATGATGGGTTCATTGATATTGACATACTTTTTAAATTAAAAATCATCTCGAATGGCCATATATTTCTTTTGGTTGATAATTAAGAAAAAATTGACTCGCAGGTCATTTTTTAAACTGGTATGAAAAAATAGTTGAAATCGAAGGACCCTTTAGGATTATCTTACATACAATAGTTTCTTTGGTATTCAGAGAAATTATTTCCATACGTCATGAACGAAAATAAAAACATTATCACGAATGCTCATATTTGGTTGATTTATTTAAAATAAAACGTATCGAAGGACCATTTTTCTTAAATTGAATACATTATATTAATACATTAATGGGTCATTTAAGATTACATTGACTAGAATGGGGGAAATTAACTTGAGGAACAATTTTTTAAACTGATATAAAGTGCATTTTTGAAATCAAAGGACCATTTAGGACAAACCTATAAACAATGGCTTTATTGATATTGATATACATTTTAAAATAAAAAATCGCCTCGAAGGACCATTTATTGGCTGATAATGAAGAAATAATTAACTCGGAGGTCTTTTTTAAACTGATATAAAGTGCATTCTTGAAATCGAAGGACCATTTCGAACGTATACACGATGGCTTCATTGACATTGGTATATTTAAATTAAAAACTCATGTCGAAGGACCATTTTTTGTAAATAACTAAGACAAAATTAACTCGCAAGTCATCTTTAAAACTGATATGTGGACCATTTTGAAGAAAATCAAATTTCCAAAGTTTAAAAACTAAAAACAAAATCATCTCGAATGCTCCTTTTTGGTTGATTTAATAAAAAATTTCTTAAATTTAATACATTATCTATATATACAATATCGATGGGCTATTTTATCTTGGCAAAAATGAGGGAAAAATTAGCTTGAGGATCATTTTTTAATATGATATAGAAGGCATTCTTGAAATCGAAAGACCATTTAGGACAAACCTATACACTATGGCTTCATTGAAGGACCTTTTTTTTGATTGGTAATTAAGAGGTAATTTTTTAAACTGTTATGAAAAATACTTCAAATCGAAGGACCATTCAGTTAAAAAATCTTAGCTACAATGTCTACTTTAAACCTCTAAGAAATTCTTTCAATGCTTTGTAAATTAAGAAAATCACCTCCAAGGACCATTTTTTGACGCCTTAATTAACTAATATTGATTGATTGGTTGACTGATCACAGCCTTCAATATTGAGTATAAACAAACAAAATGTTTTTAAATGAGTATTTTCTTTAAATATAAGAAAATTATTTAAAAAAAATAATTCATTTGTAATAAATTTCCTTTTATATATGAATATTTGTTATGTTCCAGAACCGGCAAGAATCGTATATCGTATCGAAACACACCCAATATTTTAATTAAATTTTCAAATTCAGCAATTTTATATGGGTTCAGTAATTTTTTATACATGGTTTGTTGTAAAGATTCACACAATTTAAAACACTTATTTGAGAAATTTCCAAAAAATATATATTTTTTAGTTTAGAAAAAAACCAACTTACCTCTTTATGTAAATCTATATCCACCATTTGCCTCATTTTCCCGTTTTTGTTAGTCATTGCCACTCGAATATTTCTAGCTTTTGTTGATTAAAGGTAGGTAGGATTGCAGAGAAGGATGCATAGAGTTGTTAATAAGATGTAGTTGTTGTTGTTAGTAAGTTAAGATTAGGTTGCTGATGAGAAATGTTTGTTGTATTAATATGTCAAGGTGGTGGTGAATAGAGATGCGTCGAAGTTAACGTCTAGGTCGGAGATACTGTTGACATTTATATGTTCATTTGTTGTCGTTGTTGTTGTTCTGGTAGTCATAATTAGCTAAGCCATGTTGGTGGTAGTAGTGGTATGAAGAATTACTCCATATTATTTTTTATTCTTGTTGTTGTTCTTTTGCTCAAAGCAACACCCGTTTGAATCGCATTGCAGTTCAATAGGATTTTCCCCCGCATTTATTGTTACAAGTCAAAGTAGATAGAAGTTGAGGGTGGTAGTGGTGGTAGAATAGATAGGTGTTTCTTGTTCTTGTTGTTGTAGTTCATAGAATAGTAGAATGTTGGCTTGTCATCTGTCTTGAATTCATTTTGTATGGTGAGTGTACGAAGGAGAGAGCGAACGAACGTCTGTTGTTGATGTTTGTTAATGTGGTTAGTAGTAGTTGTAATGTGTTGCTGGCATGTGTGGGTGTGTGCGTTGTTATCCTTGACAAAGGACAATTTACAAGACAAACAAACAAATGTAGTGTGAGTGTGTGTGAATCACAGACAGAAGTGTTGTAGGAATATAAAAAAAGACAGTACAGAGGAGTATGTGTCAAAACTGTTGTTGGTAGTAGAGGTGGTTGGTGGTTTATTCGGTTTGCTGTCGAGTTGGTGTTAAAGCCATTTATTATGACGGTGCACAGAGAAGAAGAAGGCGTATTAGGTACATGTGTCAACTGAGTGTGTTGCAGGGTGTTTGTGGAAAAAGAAAAGTGCTAAGAGAATAAAAATAGTGGAAAAGAAAAAAACTTTGTTGGGTTAAACCAAAAACACATATTTGGTCCAACAAAGGCGGTGTTGCATTCCCAGGCGAATGGTTGTGTTGCTTGCTTACGTTGCCCGTTTTTTATATTTCAAATGAAGTTAGATGTTGCTGCTGTTGCTTTGCTTTGCTTTTGTGGATTAAAGGATTAAACAAGACATACGTTGTTGGTTGCATTCCCACCGTTGCAATCTTGATATTTTCAAAAACTGATTGTGAAAGGTACATATATGCTACAACATGTTATTTTTTATATAGTATATAATTATAAAAAGAGAGAAATATTGTCAAGTGCTTGACAAAGAAATGGAAAAAATATCCCAATTGTTGAAAAAAAAAACTAAAAAACAATTTTTACAAAATAAACTTGCAAAAATAAAAAAAACGATTCATATTTTTAAATTAAAAACAATTCTTTGGTTTTATTATTTCTATATATTTTTTCGGATTAATATTAAACATTAGCAGGAACAAATATTTATAAATATTTCAAGGCTCGGAAAGAGGGGAGGAATGTTGTGTGTTTTTGGGATGGCTAGGCTATAGCTATTATAAATAAATTGTACTATGTAATTTATTTGGATAACATGCTATAATATATGGAAATGTGAAAATTCCATAATTGTTCGATAAATATTTGCACAACAGTTGTTGTTGTGGTTTTTTGCACAACATTTGGTTTTTTCGATTAATGCATTAATTAATTGCAGCAAACATAATTTTATGTTTTTTTGTATTGGTTAGCCAATATATAGAGTGATAGCAAGAGCATTGGACGAGGTGGGTGGGGATAATAGCAAGAATATTGAAATGTCAACAACAGCATGCAAGAATAGTTTTTATTACAGAAAAAAATGGAGAAAAAATACAAGATAAAAAAAATATAAGAGATGAAGAATGACATTGAATGGTGAAAACAAATAACCAACATAAATATACATATAAAGGTAAATGAAAGAAAATGAAACATAATGAAAAAAAGAAAATAAAAAAGAAAGAGAAAAAGAATGAGGGAGAAATAATAGATTAATAAAACTGGTGGGTTAGAATGGTAGTTGTTGTTTTTTTGTTATTAACAACAAAGCAATTGTTATAAAGCCAATTACAGATTTAAAAATAATCGATAGAAAAATACAACGCTCTCTCACTCTGGTATATGATACTATGTTTAACCGCATACAGATACAGTGGAACTTTGCTACAAAAAATGGGAATTCCTCCACAAATTTAATAAATCGAAGGACCATTGACAAGAATGACTTCTTTTCACTCGAAGGACCATTTTATAAACATTGATGAGTATCGAGTATCACTCGAACTCGAAGATACAGTAGAAGTATTATTATGCATAAAACATTCGCAGCAATTATGGCCTACGATTAAAAAATAGGGGGAAATTAACTCCAAGGACCATTTTTAACATATTGAAAAATACTTGAAATCGAAGGACCATTTAGGGTCATCATACATTCAACAGTTTCTTTGGCATTCAGAGCAAGGTCCCTTTATGATTATCTTAGATACTAAAGTTTCTTTGGCAGAGAATTTAGTTCCAAACTTTAAGAACCAACAACGAAAAAATCAAATGGAATGACCATTTTTCCTTAATTGAATACATTATAATCATATGGATCCATTATATCGATGGATCAGTTAAGTTTATATTGAACAGCATATGTAAAAAAATTAACAAGAATGGGGGAAAATTAAACTCATATTAAGAGTATTCTTGTAATCGAAGGACCATTCAGGACAATCCTATTGTTTCGAATGATGATTTTTTTTTTTTTTTTTTGGCTGATTTAATAAAATATACACTCGAAAGACCAGCAGAATTTTGATAACTTTGCGCAAAACATCAACAAAATTATTTTCCAGCATTAAAAATGGAGAAAACATACTTAAAGGAACATTTTTTAAACATTGAAATATACTTGAATTCGAAAGGATTTCTGGATTTATCTCAGATACAATAGTTTCTTTGGCGTTCAGAGAAATTATTTACAAACTTTAAAATCATCTTAAATGCTAATTTTTGGCTGATATATTAAAAAAATCGAATAGAAGGGACATTTTTCTGTTATAAAAAAATAAATGCAATCGAAGGACCATTTAGTTTAAAAAATTCTTAACTACAATATCTTCTTTGAAACTCTAAGAAATTCTTTCAATGCTTTATAAATCTTACAATCCTATACACGATGGCTTCATTGATATTTATCTCTTTCCATATTTTTATATTAAAAATTCATCTCAAAGAACCATTTATTGTTTGATAATTAAGAAAAAATAGCTCTAAAGTCATTTTTTAAACTGGCGTGAAAAAATACTTGAAATCGAAGAACTATTTAGTTAAAAAATTGTTGCTACAACTTTTTCTCTAAGAAATTCTGTCAAGAAAGTCACCTCGAAGGACCATTTGGTGGTCGATTTAATAAAGTAATATGCTTAATTGATAGATCACAACATATCCTTCAAAATATCCTTTTGAACGAAAAAGGAATACAGCATTGAAGAGCATTTAGATTTGTTATTCAAGAAGATTCCACTGTACTGTTAAAACTGCCTTAGCTGCAAAAAGCCATTGGGGTCATTATTACACAAAAAAGAATTGAAATTAAGTTAGATTACATTACATTGCATTCAGCGGAAAGTTCAATAAAAAAACCGAACGTTAATAGAATTGAAAATTTGACTTTTGTTGCTGCAATCATCGGCGGAAAGCACAAAAGAAATAAAAACAGAGACAAAATGGTTTACATTTGCAAAAAAATGGTATTGATTGAACTCAATGTTAACCAGGGGTTTAATAGTTTAAATCTATTAAACACAATGTTTAATCTTTGTTCTCATTTCGACATTTCAATGTGTAATGGTCATTTGTGTGTGCTTCAAAGTTGAATCAATAGTTTAAATGTTTAATTTTTTTGAAAAAGATAGGGTCCATACAAATTTTTAAATTTGCAATAATAGATTTCTGAAATTTTGGGGTTTGAAACCCGAGGAGTTTGAAAGAAATTGTATTTAGGAAAAACGAATGAATTGAAAAAAATACCTAAAATCAGGATATATTTTGGTGGAGCTATATATCATCAAAAATAGAACGAATTTTAGCACATTTTCTTTCCTTGTATGTATTCCATATACGGATTAAGGCTTAATAAAACCTAAATAAACAGCGACATTTTATGGTACCCATACCAAGACGTAGTACCAAAAATCCTAAAAATAATATAAACATCAACTTTAGAAAAATGGTCTAATTTTTCACGTTCCAAAATTATATATTACAGATCCAGTGACCTTAGTCTTATCGAAATACATCCGAATTTTAGCCATGAAGAAGGGGAATAAAATCATTCATTTTAATTCTCTCCTGTTTATAATTTTTGGACACTCGAAATATTGATCGTAAGTCCATATGAGTTCAAAGACTGTTCATAAAATATGAACATGATATTTGGTTGTATTAGTTTAGGATATTTTAGACATTTGCATATGTCGTAAATAATAGATGAAAAGTCCTAAAATCTATTTGTGTGTGCATGTATGCACATAAGGGATGATAACACTCCACGCTGCTGAAGACGCATAGCTAATAAAGGATATCTCCATAAACATGCGCTCAGTGGGTGAGTAAATAGAGATCACTTCAATGTGGTTTTCTGTGCGTGTGAGCTGATAATGAAGAATTAATAGCAGCCCACACACAAAGATATTGGTGCGCTCATTTGGTAATGTAAACAAATGAGCACACTTATCTCAACTGTTATCTCTTATGTGCATAATATTAGGCTAAGTTAGATTAGGTTAGGTAGTTCTTAAGGAATAATATTAAATAATAAAATTAGAATTGAAATGACATTCGACCTTACAAGTCCTCTGCAGTTTCCTTTCTCCCGCTCCTTAATAAAGACTATATATCTTCAATAAACACAGTATTGAATTCCCCTTCTTCTAAAACTGGGTCCAAAATGACTAAGGGGTCATATTATCATATTGTTATATTTTGTTATAGAAGAGCGACATACAAGGTAAAGTACCAATGAAAAAGAGAGCATGCCTGCTGTGTGCTATATAAAACTTCTCCCTCTTCAAAGAGTACATTTCGATTCAATTCGGTCAATACTGCAGATGCTATGTCGAAAATTTAAGCCCAAAGCCAAAATGTCAAATCCATCAAACTATTATACCATTTTGATGTACCTAAATAAATGTATAAAAACATTGAAAATTAACCAATATTAATTTAAATTAAATCTGTTGTAGAACACTGATTCAACTTGGGAGTTTTTTTTTTAATCAATGAAAACAATCCAATTGTCTCAAATGATGATTTTTTTTTGTTTATTTAATAAAATATCAACTCGAAGGACCAGCAGGATTATGACTTCCTTGCTCAAAACATTCACAATTCTTGCCTAGCAATAAAAAATGGGGAAAATTAACTCGAAGGACCAATTTATTAATATTGAAAAATACTTGAAATCGAAGAACCATTTAATATTACATTTTTATTTTGCATTCTGAGAAATTATTTCCAAAATTTTAGAAATAAAAACAAAATTATGCGGAATTCTTATTTTTGGTTAACTTAAGAAAAAATCGAATTGAATGGCCATTTTTCTTAAATTGCATATTTTAATTTAAAATTATCTTGAATCAATTTTGATTTAATTATTTTTAAATTATTTTTCAATTTGGCTTACCATTGTGAGAGAGCGTTAGTATCTAATCTTTGTTTTTAAAATATTAACAGAAAAATATATATATAGCATATATAATACATATTTACATATAAAATGCGTATTATATTACAAATATGTTAGTTATGTATAATAGTATAAATGAAAAAAAAAAACATCATAAAATAATATTAAAAACATATACATAAATCATAATCAAATTTTTGGTTAGAACAAGAGTATTTTTATTGTGTGTTAATTTGTAGTTAGTAAGGTTTATTTTTTTTATCATTTTTTATTTTTTGCTTTTTACAATATTTAACGGTTATAATTTTAATTTACATTTAATGTTAGTAACAATTGTTATTATTTATTTATTGTTACTGTATTTTTTTTTTTTTTTTGTAATAGTATTAGTAGTAGTTTTTAGTATATTTATTTTTGTAATTATTGTGATGGTATGATAAATGGTTTATACAAATAAACAAAATAAGTAAAATGATGAGAACAAATAAACAAATTTTCAAATTGGAATGTTAATCTGATGATAAATTGAGATATTTTGAGGGGGTATCAAATTAAAAGTCAATTGTTCTCGATTTATTTGTAAAAATGTATTAATGACCCTTTAAAGTCTCAGAAGGTTAGTTAAAATGTTAGAAATAATATAAAAAATGTTAAATGTTGTTAGTGACATGGTGTGTTAATGAAAAGGCTTTGAATGGATATAGATTTCTGTTTAAAGCAAGAGAATTGTTGCTGATATTCGAGAACATCTAAGTATAAATATATTTTTTTAAATTATTAATTATCCTTCCTTTTCTTAATGATGAAAAAGTCAAATATATGTAAATATTTTTTCAAAGCTACAAGAAGCCAAGTTCAACCAATATCTATTGAAAATATTTCAGATCGTCAGGGTCTATTCGATATTGTTGAATGAGCTTTCAAATAATTATTCAGACCTATACAAAAAATTATTGAGCCAAAGTAGAATTACATCGGACTATATCCCATATTAAACACAACAAATCGTGTTTGAAGAAATTTTGTTCGACCATCATTTAAATGTTAACATCCGTGTTTCACTTAAAAAATGTTTAGTTACTTTTGCTTTTGTAATTGAGTTGTAAAAAAAATGTAATCAATTGAAAAGCATGTCTTGCTGATATATGTTGTATAAAATAAGGTCAGTCGGCGAGCTCATGTTTGAGAAATGGAAAACAGAGAAAAAGAAAGAAAAAAACACAGTGTTAATCGATGTCCAATTAGTATGTTGCACACAGATACACACACACATCCAAATAACAAGAAATGTATTGAGATGTATTTCAAAATAAAACAAATGTTAACTGAAAAAAAACTTGGGGAAGAAGGGGGTTAACAAAATCTGGGATTGGTCACGACAATGTCTTGTTTCTTTCAGCAACTACATGGAACTACACTCACTTCACACACAGCTAGAGAAAAAAACAGACAACATTGATGACGAAAAAAAAAAATTAGAAAAAAAAATCAAATACGAAGCAGATTGTTTTTAAAAAAATGTTTTGGAAACTGATTTTTTTGATTACCTGTTTATTTTTTGCGAAATGATTCAATTCAATTATTGATTTGTGAGCTCAACAGATTTCATGATCCGCAAAAATGAGTTTGAAATAAAACCAATGGATAATGGAATACTTTATTATTATTAATTTTTTTTTCGTTTTATTTTAACAATAAAAAACGGTCCGTTTTAAAACTTTATTGAAATATCGAGAATTATGCATTTGTTTGTTGGTTTGTTGTATATAATTATTTTTGTTTTCTTTTATTATTTTTAATATATAATTTCTTTTCTTTTATTTTTTAAATATGATTTTGTTGGGTTTTTTTTTTGGAAAAATTGTTTTTTTTTGTGAATTTTTTGAGTATAATTAATTTTTTTTAAACAATGTTTTTTTTTTTGTTTGTTTAATTTTTTTGGGAAAAAAGAAAACAATTAAAAATTCTATGAATTTTAAATTAACTACTACTAAAAACTAGTTTACAATATTTGTTTATTTGCTTTTTGTTGCTGTTTTTTTTTATTTTCGTTAATGAAATTTTTTTATATATATAGTATTAAGTTTTTTGTTGTTGTAGTTTTGTAATTGGGGTTTTAGGTTTCTTTTTCTTTGCAAAAAAGGAATATTATAATTATGCTTATCAAAAGGAAGCATTTTAGCATCATTTTGTTACTTGAGATTTTTGTTGTTGTTGATTTTCTTTTCATTCTTACTTGTTTATCATAAAACAGGGTGTTCGAAAATGAATTCATAAGTAAAAAATTTTTCAAATTCGAAAATGAATTCATTCATACTTTTTTTTTAATTTTTTAGGAACACAAAATTGGAAAAATTTGGGTATTTATTATATATTGAGTATCACCTGAACTAGTAATGGGTATGGTCTTAATGAAGATGTTCCAGAGATGTTTTCTGGAGGTTTCTGTAAGTGTAAAGTACAAGTAACCAGAATTTAAGATTTTAAAGACTGGTCAAACTGTTTTCAAATGGAAAACCGAATCACTTGGTTGTCCAAAAAATTACAACCAACTAAAATATTTATGGTACTAAGACCAGCCCAAAAGTGATAGCACGAATCAGAAAATATGGTTTAAAAGACGATTCATCCCATTCACGATAAACATAGTACTACTGAATCTCTTCACTCCTTAGAACTGGGGCCGAAATTACTAAGGGGCCATATTTTTATATTTCATTTTGAAGAGGGACAATAATGTGCTCTAACGCACATACTACTGAGCTACAGAAGACCTGCTATGGGTCCCATTGGATGTGAACATGCTAAGCATTGCACCATAAGTCCTTTACGTTGTGTGCTTAGGGCCTGAACTTTAAATATTTAGTAGGACATGTACTTTAAATATTTAGTATGACCTGAACTTTAAATATTTAGTATAAATTCAATATTAGAATTATCTGCCCCTCTCTGCGCTAAGTTTTTTATCAATTCATTTTCGAACACCCTGTATTTATTTTTTCTGTTATTTTTTTCATATATATTTATAGAGAGTGAGAAAAAAACCAAACTGGTGATAACTACAATTTAACACACAATCTAATCACACATATGCAGCTTTTTCTTGTTGTTGTTTTTTTCTATATTAATATATAAACTTATAAACTAACTTGATATACAAATATATTTATAAAAAAACAATAAATAAAAAATAATATACATATATATAAGAAAAAATAAATTATTGTACAAAAAGATAACACAAGGCAAAACAAAACAAAATTTGTTCTCTCTTAAAACAGAACATAAAAGACAAAGAGAGAGTGAGAGGAGGAGAAGGAATAAATTATAAAAAAATCTGAGATGAAAAGCAAAACCGAGAGATTCAAAAAAATATTTATGACAAATAAATTCTATAATAAAAACAAATACAAAAGAAAAAAAATCCAAAAATGTTTTTATAAAAAATTAAATATTTTTCTACATGTTTTCTTTTTTGGGTGATTGTGTTTTGTTGTTGTTGTCTCTAAGTATTTGTGATTTGCTAATAATTGTTGTTTGCATTGTTGAATAGGTTTTGCTATTTTGATGATTAATAATATACATTATATTTAATAATTGTTTATAGGTAATTTTGTTTGTTTTGTGATTTTGTTGTTGTTGTTTAAGTATGTCCTAGAAATAGTGACGTCATATATGTCTTCTGTGTTCTATATATAAATGTATTAATAACACTTTTTTTTAAATTAAAATTATTTAAACAAAAAAATACTATTAACAGAAAACAAACATTTACAAGAGAAATAAAAAATTACAAATAAATTTACTATAATACAAAAGTAAATGCATTTTTACAGGATTTATTTATAATTTACTTTATTGGGAAAACAAAAAATAGAAAAAAAAACAAAAATATAAAATGTATTTATTGGAGATATACACCACACGAAAACAAAAACAATATTTCAAAATTCAAATACACAAATTGATAGATTTTGGTTTCAAGTCAAAATAAAAAACAACAGCTGATTTAATTCCCTATACCATAACCAAATAAAATTTGTATTGCCAAAAACAAAAATGGCTCAAGAAAATCAGAAAATTTAAAAAAATCCCTATTAAATTTGTCTCTCATCAATGATTGCATTCTGATTCAATTCGGATAATATGTCTGGCCATGTAGCGACTACATGAAAATGTGATATTGCTTTAATTCAATTTCAATTCAATTTATTTTATATATGAGAATGTAGCCCAAAGGGCCAAGAGCGATTCAAAAAAACAACAATATATAGAACGATTAAAATCGAAGGCTATGGTTTCATGTCGAGTATGCTAATCATTGCACCATAAGTATGTAAAGTTGTGTCCTTTGGATCCGGACTTTTTCACAAAGTGTAATATGGCCTTCTTGAAATGCTTCAAAAGCCTCAATACAAAAACAGGGATGTTAATCAACTTGAGAATTGAAACAATATTCATATGGAAGGATCGTATCTACAGTTGAACAGCTTTTATGACAATTGCTCGTTCAAAATTCTGCAGAGGTCTTGGGCAGCTTTTCGACTGCCAGAATTTATGGAAATCAATTTGAGTTTTTACAAAAAAAAAGTATTCAAATGCCAGGATTTATGGAAATCGATTTGAATTATTAAAAAAGTATTCAAAGGGAAAAATGGGGATCTATCTACACTGAATCAGTTCTTACAACAATCAAACCTTGTCCGTTTAAAGTTAGAAAAAATAAATTGTAATTCATCAATATACCATTCCAATAAATGGTCAAAACATATGACAAATTATTTCAAAATAAATCTACTGCTATGCAGTATTCAAAGATGGCCATAAAAAAATAAATATGGCAAACATTTATTTGATTTGTCATTTGTTTGTGGTTTTTAATTTAGCTTGAAACGATTGGTGATGTGAATGTGTATATCTTGTATTAACACAAAAAAAAAACAAATACCAAAAATTATTATAGACCGGTCAGTGGGTACGTCATTCCCCAAATAAAAAAAGAGAATCAACACACATCACAGTTAGTCAGTGGCATATTCGAATTCGAATGGATGCCAAATGAATTTTAAATTGTATTCAAACAATAGCCTTAAATTCTTTTTCATATTTAATTGAGAACTAAAAGAGTTAGGGGAAAATATCGAAAATTGTATTATTTGAAAGAGACCACGACCTGTCGTCGTAGAATTTTAAATATTTATTAATATCGAATATTTTGTATTATTTTTAAATACTTTAAATAAATATCATGTGCAAGACAATGTTGTCTTTAAATTCCAAATTAATTCAGTTTGGTGTGTGATCAATGGAATCATTGACATTTCTTATTAAACAAGGTCATAATATTTCAAATGTGGTTAACAATTCCAAAAGCTGTTGAGAATATTTAAACCCTTCCGTGTCTTGGAGAAAGAAAAAACACAGCATGAAATATTTTTTGGTATTAAAAAGAGGGGTTAGCCTGAAATTAATCCAAAGTAAAATCGAATTTTACTGTGGGTTTTCATCAAAATTATTTTTTAAACTATGAGGTGAACTGCAATTTAATACAAAGGATCCAAATAATTTTGAAATTATAATTTTTTCCTTATTTCTTTAGCATTTCCTGAGAAACTACTTGAATACAAAGGATCGAAATAATTTTGAAAATTCGAAATTAGCAAAATGTTTCCTAATTTCTTTAGCATTTCCTGGGAAACTGTTGTAAATATTGAATGTCCACGTTACGGACTTCCAACACACAACATACATGCGTAGACTAATTGCGATGTGTTCGCCTATAGTAACCTACACATCACCACTGTAAATATTCGTAGCAATAAGTTTTCTTGTATAGTGTGTAAGCTATTGATAATCACTCTCAATAAAGCCACCAGCCAGAGCACAAGTGTCTTTCCTTTCATCCACTAGTAGAAGCAAAATAATACTTTCAACAGGTTATGGGCCCAGTCACCCCAGGCATAGCCAAGAAGCAGTCATAGTATTGAACCCAGGAGGACTCTAGGTACAGCAAATAAATCCAGCGCAGTAGACCAGTCATGGCATAGAACTAGCCAGAAAGGAGGATCACTCGGAAGGAGCAACAATACTTTGTGTATAAGTGTCCGGCAGTAATTTGACGAAGTTTACGTGGTTATTCGTGTGTCGAGTACCAAGCCCGGAAAGAGTGAATCCCAGTGAGACTAGTGGATGGTGTGAGAAAGGAAGACAAGGTCCGATCTGTGTGATCGAAGTGTGCGAAATAGAAAGGGCATTGAGAGTCATTCCAGTTTGTATAACCGAGTGTCGGGTATGTTATGTCGTGTGTCGACAACATACGCATCTGGAATTATGCATGTGTTGCATTGGAATTGTCAGAGGACAATTACGGCTGGTAGAATCTGCAAGAGAATCAGTGCTGGTCCACCAATGTGTTTGGGAGGTGATTCTATGGAAGAAAATGCAGATAAGAATGTTGATATTTGGAAAACTCGAAAAGGCGAGTGAATGGCAACAACAACAAAAGCAGGGTGCGATTGCCGAGGCGCACAAGAATAATTCAGCAACAACAACGCAGGTAGCAGAAAATAGTTCGCGCACAAGTAGTGGCAGCAGAAACTGCAGGCAGCGAAAAAGGTTGAGCAGCGAAATCCCCATGAGCATGCGTACACCGTTAGTGATGTGTTTGACAACAACAATGCATGCAAGAGCATTGTGTGTTTGCCTAACGGTGGGACGACGAATTGATGCGTAATTTGTTTACAAGAAGTCTCTGGCGAAAGGGAAGGGGTAGAGCTCATAGTGTGTTGTTTGTGTACCTGCAAGTCAATGTAATGACGGTTGACGGAGCAGCGGTAAGATGTCGTGAAGTAGAAAATAGTGCGCAGATTGACGACGAGCAATTGGAGTTTGCTGACCGCAAGAGGGGAGTTGTTTTTGTGAGAAGAATGTGTTTCTGCCGAGAACAAGAACAATTCAAAGAAGTGCCAATACCGTTACGGTCCAAAATGATGGGGAGAGCCCACGACGAACGGCATCGAATGTGTTTCGATGAGATGAAGGCACCGTTAGGTCAACCAGTGTCGAACCCGTGGAGGGGGAAAGTATGCAGGAGGAGATGGATTGCTGATACTATTAAAGAAAAATACTGTGTGTATTGTATTTGTAATTTTGTTTACAATTTTGAGTTTTAATAAAAAAGTTTTGAGAGATGTTGATATTGGGCATGTATGTATGTGTGTTGAGGAGGAGTGTTGTAAATATTGAATGTCCACGTTACGGACTTCCAACACACAACATACATGCGTAGACTAATTGCGATGTGTTCGCCTATAGTAACCTACACATCACCACTGTAAATATTCGTAGCAATAAGTTTTCTTGTATAGTGTGTAAGCTATTGATAATCACTCTCAATAAAGCCACCAGCCAGAGCACAAGTGTCTTTCCTTTCATCCACTAGTAGAAGCAAAATAATACTTTCAACAGAAACTAGTAGAAGTGATGCGGAACGAAATGATGAATTATTAAAAACTCCTTGAGTCTGGTTCGGTAAAATTTGAAATGAATCAATTTCTACAAAATCTTGTTTTATGTAAACAAATTTGTTTGCATGAAAACATAAATGAAAACCCAAACACTTGAATTCGTTATTCTCAAATATTTCCATGAATGAAATATCTATGGATCAGACAAAGGTCGGACGGTACGGGAAGCTGGCTATTAAGTTTGCTAAAACAGCTGTTTTCAGTGCCAATTTATTTGTTGTCCAACCATATGTATTGGAAAAGTGTACTTGCATTCATTCGTATCTAAAATTTCACAGAATAGATTTATATCACACACCAAACTAAAATTTTAATTTTTTTTTAATATACAAAACACAACGTACCACACTGACCTATCAATATTAAAAAAAGTCTATAAAAAATAACAATAAATTAATGTCTGTATATAATTAGAAATATGAACTACAACATAAAGAAACAATAAATTCCAATTGTTTGTCTGTTTTTTTTTTCTTTTTTCTTATAAAAAGAGATTCTACTTTGAATTTTATAACAATAAATAGGGAGGAAAAATACACAATAAAATTAGCTTAATTATAAAAATTAAAACAAAATTCTAATTATTATTTTGTTTTTTGAAAAACGATTTTGTCTTTTCCAAGTGAAAAGCGTAAAGAGATGAAATATATTGGAAATTTTACTTTAAGACATATATATGTAAATATAATAATATTTATGTATGTATATTCATTTTGTATATAGCTACAAATTGAAACTAGTTTTTATTACAAGAAGAGAGATAAAGGGGAAGTAGTATAGAACAGGTATTGGATGGAAAGGGGGGAGTTTTATTTATGATTTATAATTCAGACAAAAACTAAAATTAGTTTGCTGTCATTCGTGAAAAAAAAAAACTAATCCACAATTAAAAAATCTGACATGGCCTGTTAACCATAAATTGGTCTTAAGTAATTCTGTTATAGTAGTTTCATTTTGTTGTCAAAATTCTATCACAAAATAGAAGAAGAAACTAAACAATGAAGAAGAGAACACAATTGGAAAAAGAAAATTAAGGCCTTAAAATGGTTTGCTTTTCTTAGGAAGCTGTTGCTGCTGCTATTGTGGGGGAGAGTTTTGGAAAAACTGAAAAGCAGCCCAATTGGTTTTCTGAACAGTTTGTTTTATCCCCGCGTTCTGAAGAAGAATAATTATGATTGGTTTGGTTTTAAGGCCTTTTATGGCAGGTTGATATTTTGTTAAGTATTTGTTTGTTGTTGTTTATCAATTGTTTTTTTTTATTTTCTCGTTAGGCTTTAATTTTAAAAGTAATTTTTTTGTTTTATAACATTTTCCTTTTGTTTAATAATTGCTTATTTAAGGCTTAAGGCCTAATTTTTTTATGGAAATTTGAAAAACTGTTCTGTTAAATGTTTGTTTTTGTTGTTGTTCTTGTTATATTTCGTTTCATTGTTTTAATTAATTAATAATCTAGCAACAAATTGTGTTTTTTCGGTTTTTTGTTTTATTTCTCTTCTTCATCATTCTTCATCGATTACCCGATCTTCTTATGCTTCTAAACCTTTCCATAATTTTTATATGTTTTGAATATACGTTTCTTTTTCTTTTTTTGGTTTTATATTATTTTATGTAAAGTGTAGTTAATGTTTGTTTTCTTTTTGTTTGTTTAGAGAAATTGTTACTACGGTTTGTTTTTTGTTTTGCTTTTCTTTCCTTCTTCAACTTTTTCTTCTTCTGCTGGTTGTTTATTTTTAATAAATATATGAGATATATAATTATTTTTTTGTTTTTAATATTTATATAGGTAGTAAATTTTGTTTTGTTTTTGCTTTGTCAGAGATAAATATTTATAATATGTATGGTAGGAGTAGTTGTTGTTGTAGTAGTAGAAGGGGGATAAGGTAGGTAGGTAGGTAAGGTAGTTTATATTGTTTTAATAATATTATTAAGAATAATATTCTTCTCTTGCATTATTTCAAAAAAATCTTTCTCTGCTTCTACGTCATCATCGTTCACTGCTGATGCTGCTGAATGCTACATTTTTTGGATTGCAACTTTTCATTGATTTCTTATTTTTTGTTTTGTCTAATTAATTTTGTTTTTTGTTTTTCGTTCTTTACTTTTTAATATATATTATATATAATTAATTAATAATAATTATAAATTTAATAATAATAATAAAAATTTGAAAATTATAATACGCTTTTTGTTTTTTGTTTTAAATAGATTTTAAATAGAATTTATATATGGCATTTACATGAAATAACTGCTAACATATGCAGCAACTATGATACCCAACACAGTCAAGCAAAGCAGAATCATAATCTTCTTCCGGCGAGCTTTACTCTGATATTTCAAAGCTTTCTTTGTATCCTGAGTTGCTGTCTGCACGTAGTCCATAGCGTGCTCCACATGGTATTCAATGCGATCAATCATTTCGCCCTGCGACTCCACCAACATAGCCATATCCATGAACATGTCGTGCAACTCTTTGATCGATGTCTCCAATTTCATGATATCGGCGTGACGGGCTTCTATGTCGGCCAGTGTCTGTTTGGCCTGTTGCGTTTCCATGATAATGCCCTGCGTGAAGACGGCCGGATTGCCCTGTTCCAACATGTCTTCGAGTTCATCGTTGGTTGTGGCACGGCCAGTAATTTCCAATTGACGCTGTATTCTGCCCTTGCAGCGTTCACGATAATCGGTCTGTGTGCGATTGTATTCGGTCATTACTTCGACGAATTTTCGCGACAATGTCGAGTGCTGTGTTTTGCGTATACGCAAATCGGCCGAGGATTTATTCTGTTGTTCTTCCTGTTCGATGTTTTGTTCGATGCCTTTTAGTTTGCCACGCACACGATTGGCATTCTTCTTAATGTCCGCCATTAGATCTTCAAGCTCCTGCTTGGTTTTTTCATCGGACTGGGGAGCCGAGAGGATGGCCGAGTGTTTTTTCTTTACCTCTTCGACATTTTCTTGGACTTTTTCGATCATATTACGTATCTCCTCGACTTGAGCAAAGAAGTCATCCATATAGGAGTCATGGGTGGCGTCAACATTGACGGCCACCTCCTCGGTTTCCTCATCGTCCGATTGGGCGGCATGTAAAGCGGCTAATCTGTCTTTTGTCATGATGCTGGTTTTGGTGGTGGCGGCGGTATTAAAGTTAAGTTAAACTACTGGTAGTGTTGTTGTATAGACCGGTTTATTTGCCGTTGTTGTTGCCTTCTTCTTTGTTTATTTTAAGGTTTAATAGCCTCTAGTTGTTTTACTTCCAAGGTTTTCTTCTTCTTCTCCGCTTTATTAATTATTCTATAGGGTGTCTTAAATTCCACTGCTTTTGTTTTCAATACTTGTTTTAACTGGCATTTGTTGACTACTCGTATTTTTGTTTTAATATTTTTTTATATCGATGATCTTTTTTGTTTAGTTTTTTTTTTTCGTTTTGTTCTTTTTATTCAATTCTCTTTCCAATAAGATTTTTTCAATGCCACTCTAACATAAAATCCACTTAATGATTATACACTGGCAACTTTTTTCATATTTTTTGCTGATTGGAGAGCATCAAAAGTATGGTGATATTGTTGTTGTTGTTGGTCTCCCCCTTGTTTGTTGTTGGTGAGTACATATATTTTTTTCGTTTAGTTTTGGAGTAGCACAGGCAGCGTGTGCTGATGACTGATGATATCAAACGTTGTGGTAGGGGTTTGGGGGATGGTAGCCGGGCATACAAACACGTAAGACAGAGAGCGAGAGAGAGAAAGAATTTGTTATGCTTCTTCTTCTTCCGCTGTTTAGTTGATTGCTGCTGCTATCTTGTCGTTGAGTTGATATGGCTCGAAACGTGACTCACTTTTTGGTGAATGAATTGAATTTGTTTTTACAAATATATTTATTTTTATTATAAAAATTCTTCACTTTATTTTGTTTTTGTTTTTATTAACTTTGCAAAGTATTTGCAATTCCTTGTTTTCTTATTGACAGACAACACTTGACAGACTCTTCTTTTTGGTGTTAATGCTCTCACAGTGTGTGATGAGGGCTCCACTCTCTTGCGGTTAAATTCTCTTCTCTTTATTTCACTGAGTGGGGGAAAGAGACAGTTTTTAAGGTATTTTGTGTGTGTATTGCTTTTGGGATTTTCTTTTTTGTTAATTATAATTTCCTTTGACGTTGTTCACGCACCAAATATTTTAGTTGATAGTTTTATTTTATTTCCTATTTGCAGAAACAATAAACTTTTGTTGTATGTGTGTGGAATGTTTCCTTCGTAACCTTGACTAAGCCAAAATAAAAGAACTATAAAGGATGGAAGATTAGGCAGCGGTAGGGGCGTTTTTTAGTAATCCCGTTTTAAATAAATTGTTTTAAGGTTTTCGTGATATTGTTGTTGTTGTTTCTTTGGTATCCATACAATGCCACTGGCTTTTTCTTTTGCTTCTTCTTCTTGTGTTGGTCGTTTGTGTTCAACACTTGATTACAATTTTTTTTATTTGATTTTTTTTCGTTTTGTTTAACAATCACACACACTCAAGTTATGGTTAACTTTTTTTATTGCACAAAACTTATTAATTGCTTTATTTTTTGAGGGGGAGGATATTCGTTTTTAATTTTTCTTTCAAATTTTCATGGATAATCACTTTGATTCACACGCCTTGAAAAATGCCTGCTGCTGCTATTGTTGCTTGTTGTCGTCGTCGTTTTTGTTGGGGGACTTTTAATCAATGTAAAAATATCGATTTTTCTGCGCAAAGCCTACCGTAAACGTTTAAAGCAAAAAACTTTTTTTGTTTCGTCAGGCCGCCGTAATAGATAGAGGAGACTGAGTTTTCGTTCCGGGGGTACGTTTGGTTTTAATAGCACACTTTTGCTTATTCACGCGCGTAGGCTATTTGATTTGACTATTTTTTTTTGCTTGGTCGGTCGGTTGTCTCCAATTCAACAAACGGTGGGTGTGTATTTTTGTGTTTTCAAAAAATTTTCAAAAAACGGATCACAAGAATTTCTTTTTATAAATTGCAATTATTTTTGTTGTTTAGCTCTCTTCTTTTTTTCCACTAAACAATTCACTGAATATTTTATTTAATTCTTTTCTTCTTTTTTCCTTCTTGTAGTAATGGGGTTTTTTCTTTTTGCTTTCATTCACTTTGTAATTTGGGAATTTTTCACATGGGGAGCTGTGCCAGACGTACGCCAAAGAGTGATGGCCGCACAAAAACAATAATAACAATCGTGTGGCTCCCAAAGAGTGTGCGTTAACAATGCTCTTAAAAAGCGAGGGAGTGTTTTCGATGTTCTCTTCGGTTTGTTGTTGGTTGTCTTTGCAGCGGCAGCAGCAGCAATGAACCACTGACACTTTTCTTCTTCTTTTTTTGCACTATTCTTCTTCTTTAACCTTTTTTTCTTTTTTTGTTTTAACCCCTTTCCACAGGATGAAGAAAAAAACGATTGACGATTGGAAAAATCTTCCGGTCGTCTAAAATAGTTATGCACAAATGGTTATTGCACTTTTTTGTTACATTGCATTTATTGCCCGCCGTTGTTTATTTATTTATAAATAGAATTCAACACAATTTATTTACTCGGCGATGCCACAAAATTTGTATTTGTTGTTTTCACTGTGGATTTTTTTCTTTCTATTTGCTTCCAACCATTACGTCAAAAATTTTATGTCACTTTGATTTTTGTGTGTCTGTGTTAGGGATAAGTAACTCGACTTTCGGCTAATCGATTATATTAAAAAGTCGAAGTAGACTTTCGATTTTCTTCATAAATTCTTGGATTATTATCACAAAACCCAAATCAACCCAAATTGCTAAAAAATTACAAATGCCAAAACATTATATGATCTGTTGACAAAAATTCGTATAAATAAAAAAAATTAATAGTAATAACATCGAAAGGTTGACATTTTAGTCTAAGGCAAACATCGAAGTCAAAAATAGACTTTTTGAACAGAGAAAAAAAATTGAAAAGTCGACTTTTGAGTTTGACTACGTATCCCTAGTGAGTGTGCTTTGTTGGGTGACAGTTGTAAACGTATGTATTTACGAGAAGAGTACTACAAAGTGCAACTGTGCATTTGCGGATGGTCAGAAATGAAATGTCAAAATAGTTTGTTTGTGAGAGAGAGACCATGAGAGAAAAAGACATGCAGCATTGCCAGTTCAAAGAAATAATTTGTAAAGTGAAAAAATGGTTACACAGAGAGATTGTTGAATTCTTAACGTTATAAAGTTAATACATAAAAAAAACAAAATAATAATTAATTTAAACATTTTGTAATTAAAGAAATGTTATTAATGTAAATAGTTAAACAATGCTATATGTAATGACTTGTCACAAAAAATACACGTATTTGAACACCATTTCTAATGGGAATTTTTAATTTTTAAATTTATATCTCGTACACAAAATCTTAAACAATTTGAAAAGGAAAAATCGAAAACAATTTCGGTAAATATAAGATTCTAGCCGGTTCTGGAAGTAAGCAATAGTTTGTAAAACTGGTAAAATCGGGGTATGTATATTTGGTATGTTCCCGGCAATTATTTACAGATTTCTTCGATATCATAAAGAAAAAAATTGTTATTGTAGTAAAAAGTTGTACATTTTTGAACGTTTCGTAAAGAAAAAATGCATATGTTATCAAGGGTGTGTCCACTGGGTATATAGGAAGATCTATTGGTATATTTGAAGACGACATTAGGCTTAGGCTAGATCAGTTTGATGTCCCTAGTGTTAAAAACATATAATGAAGTGTAATGAATCAACACCAACAACTGCATCTGGGATGAGTACCTTCAAAATCGTTTATAGCGACATATCGGTTATAAAAACGGTATCGATGTTCTAATCTTTATTTTAAATGTTTATAGCGACCATTTTGCAGGCCATTTTATTGCCTAATTTCAAAGAGTAAGCTATTCTAAATGACCGGACCTAAATAACGATGCGCTTTAAAAACGTTGGTACCAGCCAATTCAATTGCCTAACATTTTGAGGCAGAAGCATTGACTGCATGTTTTAAATCGAAAAGCTGATAAGCATCCTAAACTAAATAAATACGATAGGAATAAATCCGGCTGAACCGACTTTAAGAGTGGACATGACCTGCAAATAGTTTTAAAGGTTATTGATAAAAACATTTATAAAAATATTATGGAATTTCTTTACATTGGCCTTAAAGGGGGCTTTCAAACCAATAAAATATGATTTTTCTGTGACACCAGATATGTGTTCGGTTATACCGAAATATTTTTCCTTATTTTCGATAAATTCAGTATATTATAATATTTTAATAGCATAGCTTCATTTACTTATACAATTGAAAAAAGTCGACCAGTTCAAAAATATGTTATTTTCTTAGCTTATTGACCCTGACTACTACATGTAGGCATATATTCGTAATATATATTTTAAAATTAAATAACGAAAAGTCAAAATATTTACCTTAAAAATCAGCAACGAAATATGATGGATTTGCCGTAATCTTTAGCAGGATACTTTAAGATTCTTTTCATAAACAAAAATCTGCTGCACTTTTTTTGTTTAATTATGCTAAATTCAATATTCCTCAAACACACATAACTTTAGTTCAATTTTCACTTTAGTGATGAATTCAATATTATATTTATACACCATAATTTTCACCTTTTGATGAGTAGGTTCTTATATTTTGGAATAATTCACAATTCCATTTATCAACATGGTCTTTTCTTTGATGGAATATTTACCACATTTCATTTTTTCCATGGTTTTGTTTTCTATCTTTTCTGACATCATCATCATCATCTTTGGTTCAATTTTAATAAAGAAAAAATTAACAAACAATTGGACTTACCGGAATCTTTGTAGTCAATACTACACCGCAAATCTCATCGTCAACCATAAACTGTTCACTCAACATGGCCATACAAATATCTTCCCACGCTCTATCAATTTGATTTTTACGTAAACGTATCAACCATTGACCACCCTTCGAATTGGCTGGATCCTCCCACATGGGACGTATACCCTTTTTGAAGAGACTCAACTCACGGAAGGGATTTAAGGCTGTGGGACGTCTCAATTTACAGTAGAGTGACAGCCAATGTTCAATGGTGGCACAGCGACCAACCATGCGCAACGATTTACTATAATCGGTGGCACGATGGGCACCTTTGCGTGAATACCATAGCCAGTA